TGCCCAGCCAGTCCCTAAGCAGCAGTCACTGCTCCCTCCCAGCTTATATACTGAGCATGACATCATATGGTATGGAATACCCCGTTGGCCAGTTGGGTCAGCTGTCTCGGCTATGCTCCCTCCCAGCTTCTTGTGCACCTGGCAGAGCATGGGAAGCTGAAAAGACCTTGACTATGTACTACTTAGCAACAACTAAAACATCAGTGTGTTATCAACACAATTCTCATCCTAAATCCAAAACACAGCACTCTACCAGCTACTAGGAAGAAAATCAACTCTATCCCAGCTGAAACCAGGACACGCCTGTATCAAATATATGGATCACAGCAGAATATTCTTCATGACATATTTTCCTGTACACAAGCAAGAACACTAACTGACCAATCAATAATGCCCTACAACCGTGAATTACCATAGGCAAAGGTCAGAAATATTCGTAAACTGAAAGCAGTCATTCTCTTTTCAAACTGTTCTTTCCCCGACGGTTGTTCTTCACTATCTTCATATCAGTTGTTTTCCAAACCCATCCTAAGTTTGCAGCTGTTTGTCCAATTTAAGTTACCATGCTGATGAGTAAGCATATCAGCTGACTCAAACCTTCCAACAGAAAATATGAGATATGTACATTGGGGGAGGGAAAATAAACATGAGAGCCTGCTAAACCATACAGAGCAGGTACCCTCAAAGACATCAAAGATTGCTCTCTCCCACAGATAGAGTAACAGCAATTTATCAGCAGCAGAATTTTTTTTTTTAAATCCCTGCTCTAGGCTATTCAGACTTCAATCAGAGACAGATAAATATTAACACACAATTTGCTGTTCTGTTTTGGTCTTCTGCCTAGCCCTTCTATTACAGTTACTACAGGAAGCCTGGAAATGGAAGACTTTTTCCTCCTCCATTAATGTTATTCCTCATTTCTAGGTTTGCTAGATGAAGCAGTTTCATAATAATTATAAGCAAGCTCTTCAAAGCTGCATCAGGTATATGGTTGATACTTTAGTACTGTGCAGGAGTATTTACCATATGGATATGGTTATAAGCATCTGTCAACCCATCTTTTACTATCAGGTCTTCCAGCTTTACTCCTCCATAAGGCGTTGATCCTCTGCTCATTGTGTAGGGA